CATCTAGGTTGGTTCCACAGTCTAGCTATTGTGAATTGTGCCGCTATAATCATTGATGTGGCCGTATCCCTATAGTGCGCTCTTTTAAGGTCCTCAGGGAATAGTCCGAGAAGGGCAATAACTGGGTCAAATGGTGGATCCATTCCCAGCTTTCCCAGGAATCTCCATACTGCTTTCCAAATTGGCCTCACCATTTTGCAGTCCCACCAGCAGTGTACAAGTGTACCCTTTGATGGTGGCACTTATGAATGAGATTGTTAAATCCTTTAAATTTGATGTTGTAATATTTACGAGGTAGATTCAGAAAGCTTTGAAATTTTAAGGACAAAGAATTACAGGTGATTCTTAGGCAACCTAAAAGGTATTAGCTCACAAAGTAACAGTGGTTCCTCATGGAGTAATAATATAGGCATGAATTGATGTTTCAATTGCAGGGTAGGAAAGCAATGTGAAAAAAAATCATTCTAATTGTATATGCTTTTTTTAAAAAAATTTCTTGGCAACAGGGATTGAATCCAGGTGCACTTAAACACTGAGCTGTATTCCCAGCCATTTTAAAAATATTTTATTTTGAGACAGGTCTCACTAAGTTGCTTAGGGCCTCACCAAATTGCTGAGGCTGGCTTTGAACTTGTAATCCTCCTGCCTCAGCCTCCTGAGCCACTGGGATTACAGGCATGTGCCACAGTGCCTGGCCTATGTATTGCTAGGACAATATTAATACAGCCATTAAGAAATAATGAAGTATTAAAAAGTTTTTCTACTATATGAAGCATATAGTAACAAATGTAGATGTTAATATTCACTACTTCAGAGAAAAGGAAATCAGTTTAAAGGCCCATAATTGTATTTAAAATAAGAAAACAAAATATTAAGCTCTTTATCTTCTTATTCTAAATAATATATAATAATGTGTATAAGAGCTGGGTTTCTTTGCCTTGATTTTGGTGGAAAGGACAAATGTTTTGCTGGTCACAACTCCTTAAGCCATTTCCTTATCTACCAAAGTGTGATCTTTTTTAAATTCCTATAGACTTTACAACTATGTTGTTTTCAATCAAAATTAGATGCTTTAAAAAGATGTATTCTGCCAGATATTTTGTTCTTGGTGAGATATGCTTAAGGTATTCTAGCTTGAAAACAACATCAAAATTAAAAGTTTTCCTGATAAGCAGAGCATCTGTGATCTTTGGGGTTTGGCAGCTCTGGCTTTGAATTCTGAAGACCTTCTGACACCTCTGTGACATGGAGGTCACCTGCCAACTCTGGGCTTGGGTTTTCCTCTTTATTAAATGAAAATAATAACATCTATTTTTGAGGATTAGCATGAGAATTGAGTGCATTAATTCGTGTAAAATGCCTGGTAAATAACATGTATTTTTATGTCCATGTCTCAGTGACTCAAATTTTCAGATTTACTAAAAGTAAAATACTAAATCAGAAGAAATCTAGAAATGTTTTGATAAGACTAGAATATTGGAGTGAGTATAAAATCTGACCATTACTGAAATTATATTTTAGTAATATATTTTCAAAAATATTTTGTGATATATTTTATGTGTGTTATTAAGTTATATTTCTAAAGTTTTTTACTGTTTTTCCACATGTTTAATATCAGAATAATTTACTTAAAATCTATTGTGACATAATAAGGGACTTTGATTAGAAAAGCATAAGAGTAGATAAAACTAAAAATAAATTTATTATAATAAAAAAATTGAAGTCAAGAGATAAAATAATTTATTTTCTTTCTAGATGAATCATTAACTCTGTTAAAAATCATTCCCTTTTAAAGCAATAGCTCTTCAAATCCAGTAAACATAGATTATTTTCATAATTTATTTTTTTTCCTTTATTCTATATCAATAATACAGGTAATAATAGCTTCTTATCAGTGTTGCCATCAAATTTAAAATTCCCTATTRTATCCCCTAAGTTCAATATGCATAGATCATTAAGTTACTTAATATTCTATTTAAAAGGATTTATGTACAAGTAGACTCTGTTATTTACAATTATACTACTATGGTATGATCAATATTAGTTGAAAAAATTTGGGAAAGAAGAAATACCACATAGCCTGCTAACCAATACTTCCAWTGGTTGAGTTAAATTTGTCCAAATACCAAGTCTTTTTATCTAATACAGACAACTGGGACAATTTTTTAAGAAAAAGAACTCTTCTTTTTTCCTGGTAAAGAAATTTCACAGAGCTATAGAACACATTTATTTTAGTATACTTAATTTGTTTATTTAATTATTCCTCATATTAGTTAAAATGGCTGGAATTTTTAAAATTCAGAAGTGATATCTTTTCTAGTCAAATGTTCTAATGTGTTCACTAGCCTCAAAGTTGTCTTTTAAGTTTTAAAGTTTTTCTAATGTGTGTATTACTCAAGGGCTTTATCATTCAGGCAATATTTTAGAGAAATATTCAATAAAAGGTGTAACTGCTAAAGGACATTTTTTTTTCTGTAAAAGTTGGTTTTAGTGATTTTAAATACCAGTCTTACAAGTTGATTTTCTAGAAAACAAGAGAATAGGTTTATTTTCCTCTTTTTGTGTGATCAGCAGGGTCATCCATTTCTCCTCTAGTTATAAAAGTTCTTTGATTTTAGTTGCTATGAATATTTTTCTGTAATGCTGCCTTACAAGGAGGCTCCTTTGGTGATCTGGCACACAAGTCAGAATAGCAGGTGCATTTCTTAGTGACTAACTTCCTTAACCCCCTGCTCGCCTTCCTGCAGAAAGATGCTTGGTTTCTGCAAACTCCTAAAAACKGGGATTGTTCTCCAGTCAAGAATGAAAGGAAGCCTCTTATTTCTGTATACAGACATTGCTTACTGAGCAAAGAACATAGTTATAATTGAAGGCATAAAAACTTGTCAAAAACCTCTACCCTCAGGAACTCTGACATATTTGATATATCAAATAGTGTTAGATACATTTGTGCCAAGTTTTACTTATCATTGTTAAAAAAAAAAAGGCAACTTTCAAGTTACTGCCTTCAGACCATGCCAGTCAGCAAACTCATATTTTTTTTATTATATCCATGATGCAAAGTGTTGCCACTAAGTTATAAGAACCTAAAAAATATAGGCATTGTTAATTTAGAAACTATCCAAGAAGCTTTGGGAGAAGAAGCTGAAGCCATAGATTACAGACCTGCAGCTGGGTTTCCAGAAGAGGCAGGCTTGGTTCACTGGTTAGCCACTCGTATGTCCCCCGGCCAGCGTGTCCAAACTTCCTCCAGCTGCTGCTCAGCAATCCCCTCATGGTGTCACCCAGCTGATGACCCGGTCTCCTTTCCACCCTGCTGCCTGGATTTCTACAGTGCTGCTTGCTCTTGGCCTGGATCCAGGATAGATGTGTGCGGCCGATGGCTTTTGGTAAACTCGTCTTCTGATGAGTGGCATCAGGGAAAAGAAACCAACYAGAGATACCTTTCAGGACTGACTGCATTTATATTCAGTGCCTCTGGGTTTGTGTTTGTGGCCTTTATCACTAGAAGGATTGGCATCAAATATCAGCTATGGAATAGATTTCAGGTGGGAGAGTTTTCTGCATTAGCATTATTACAGTGCAAACAAAGTCGTGGTGAATACAGAGCTGCTATATTTAGATGTAATTAAGACCCTCTCCCTTCCCTTACCAAACCCCTCTCTGGGGACATCTGATCAAGAAAATCTACCTAGGATGAATTCTCTTTTATTATTTCTGGGTTTTATAGTACAAAATGAAGGGGTACTTGATAGAGAAGCAAAGACCCATTAATAATATTTTACTGAATTATTTAGATGAAAGTTGCCTAATGATAAAGTTGTACACAAGCCAGACGGACAATAGCTTAGACTGTTAGATGGAAAGTTTGCTGATTTCAATTTTTTTAAATCAAATTACCAGTACCTAAATAGTCTCCCTACAGGTTTTCTTGTGAACTTTATACAATTATTGCTATMACACTTAAAAACTTTGATTTGAACTTGATTTGCATGTTCACTGAATTAACTTGGGGATATTTAATTCAACATATGTGTTATTTAACATTTAAGACAATGTGTTAGTTCATTTTGTGCTACTAGAGTGGAATACCCGAGATGGGTAATTTATAAATAATAGAATTTTCTTTTTCA